TTGCTATTGATAGCCGATAAAATTTTAAACATATTCTCATCTCAAGTCGTTAAGGGCTTTGGCCAAGTAGAATATGTAGTAATTGATTATAATAGAAGAGATTTCAATTGACTTAGTGTTCTAACCTAGGGAGAGGTTACTGAATAGAATAATCACACGAAGGTTGGTAATAAATGATAATACTTAGGGCAAGAACAACACATATAAGATTCACCAGCGACGCGTGTAAGTAGTAGTCAACTGTTAGAAGTGAATCAAGTGAATTCCCCAATGAATCTCCAGCTGCAGGATATCTACCAACCGGCCCGCGCGGTCAGATGTGGCACAAGGCCGAATTTAATGTGTGTTATCCGAGCCCGTAGGCTCGGCCAAAAATCCCCCGTAGACCCCCGTATAAAACGGGGTTGGGTAGCTGCTTCCCGAGACCAGACTCTGTTCTCCGACACACTCTCGTCTGGGGATCCTCTCTGTCCGGAGGCAGAGAGTTTGAGCAGCACAGCTGGAGACGAATCTCCCGACTGCAGGAGATCGCCCCCAAACGGTCAGATACGACACAAGGACGAATTTAATATGGGGTATCCGAGCCCGTAGGTTCGACTAAAAATTCCCTGTAGAACCCGTATAAAATGAGGTCGAGTAGTTGGTTCCCTTCGACATAGCCTCGTCTGGGGGGTCCTCTCTTTCCGGACAAAGAGAGTTTGACCAGCACAGCTGGAGACGAATCTCCGACTGCAGACCATCATACAGTATTTACTATTTTATTTATGTGAATGGGAACATTATCGTCCGTAGGTATGCTACAGCAATTAGTTATGATTTAGTTGGGAAAAACGCATAGAGTATTATTGTTTGCTATAAAAATTTTAAGCAAAACTAGAAACATGAAATGATTGTTTTAAGCCGATAAACTCATTCGAACCGAAAACGTTCACTTTACAATAATAACAATGATCACCGCGACTCACTAACGCATAAACGCTTCCTATCTCTTATCTCGAGCACGCTTTGTGAACATCTTGCTTGCATGTCTTGTGTAGGAAAGCTACCAATTCCTCTGGGGTGGGGAAGTGATTCTCGGCTAACAGCCTGTTCGAAAAACCTCTTGAGAGTTGAAGGATGCTTGTTTGATTGATCACCGTTTCCCTAAAAGTTACCGGTGACGGATTGGCGCATAGTTGAAGAGAAGCAGTTTCAGATGCAAGAGGAAAAGATTGGGTCCGCTCCAAAACAGCGAATTTTATTTGGCCGAAATCTGGCTTCAACCTTTAAATCGAATTTTTACTTCACCGAAAACGCAGAAAATTAAAGCAAGTAGTATTTTTTTTTAATATTTGAATAGCACTTATGCGACACTGAAATAGGAAGGCGCGTTAGGATAGCCCAAAGATGCCTTTCAAAAGTTAAGCAATGTATTATGGAAAATTTAACTGGAGAAAAGTAAAAGACTATTGAACAGTTATGTGGTATCGATACTCTTACATGACATTGAATGCTGAATCATCTCATTAACGATGGAGAAGACACTTGAGAGAATGGGAAGTTTGGTTCTACAGAAGGATGCTGAGCATATCATACGGAGCATCAGTTGAAATTTCTAGAGCACATAATGAGGAAAGAGGGCCTGAAAAATATGACACTCAGAGGACATATTGAAGGCAAGGGGGCGGCATAACTTGCCTAACGAGCTTTGGTAAATAGTTGGCAGAATAGGGATTAGGAGAGATAGTGAAAAAGACAAACTTTACTAAGAACAGAAAATTGTGGAGAGCAATGATCGCCCACGTCCAGAAGGAACACAGCACAAAGAAAGAAGAAGAAGAAGAAGAAGAAGAAGAAGAAGAAGAAGAAGAAGAAGATCATTTAAAAATTACACTGGTTCATTGGAATGTTTTTTTTAAAATTTTATTCAAGATAATGAATGCTTGGTAACAACAAGGATGTCCAAGTAGTGGAGTTCGAATTCCGGTCAGGTTCATTGCATTCCCTTTCGCATGGATACCATGGACAAAGTATTGTATGGGTCCATCTTTTCGCCACCAAGCTCTTGGTTAAATAGCAGCGCTGACAGGAATCTCTTACCTTATGGAAACCAGTCAAATGGGAAAAAAAACTATGAATTGAAAATCAGCATGAAGAAGGAAAATCTCCACTATCATGCGCTGGGCACACCTCTACCGCCATATTGGCAGTACATGTGGTGCTCCTATGATTTAAATGGGTTACGGAGCTCGTGATTTGACTACAACAAATCAAAGAGATAATTTAAGGCTGAAATCAGTTGAAGCGAGGAAACTTTAACGGCAAACGGAAATAAAAGTGACGATTACAATTTAAACATTAATTAAATAAGTGAACATATTTTGGGTGAAAGATAAACTTCGTACGCTTACGGTCATACCACATTGAGACACCTGTTCCCGTACAAACACCAAAGTGAAGCAACGTCGAGCCTGGTTAGTACCTAGATGGGTGACTGTTATGGAATGTTAGGTGCTGTAAGCTTGGATGTGCTGATGGTATAACGAATAACGGCTCAGAATTGTTAATCGGAGAGCCGAGTTCCAACTCTAGTTGGGTTCGTTATATCCACTCACGCGCAAATGCACTTGGGAAAGGTATGAATCTAACTCTTCTCGCCCACATCTATGGGTTAATTAGTAAGACTTTTATCACTAAACCATTTTTATCTTTAAAAAAATGTAAAAGAAAAAAGAAATACTTACAATCTAAAAATATATTCTGGCTTTAAATAACCTGCAAAGTGTATGATAATCCATAGAATCGGGAGGCATTTAAGCTAGCTCCTGTTGAGTACTCTTGGTTTGACCATCACCACAATAGCTAGGGAGGAGTACATGCAATAGGCATCAATAAACTACAGAAGAACTCAAAATTGATCGCTGCATTTAAGTATTGAATTAATATTTAAGCTTACCTTTTAAAAGTTTATCGATAATTCCTCTGCTGACACTTAATTTAAAGACGATTTGATGTATGTAGATCCTTATTTTCCGTTCAATTATTTTTATTTTTCATGGGTGACAGAACAGGGGACAATTTATAAGATAAAATTAATATAGTGTAAAGATGGGAAAATAGAAATTAAAATTAGTTATACATTCAACATTTGAAGAGTTAGAGAAACATAATAGCTAATTAAGTAAAACTTATATTATGGAATCTATATGAATAAATATGAAAATTGGAGCTCAATTCTCCCACGAATTCCTAGATTAAAAAGCCCCAGTTCTACTTTATAGTAATTTACACTCTAAGAGCTCGATATCTGTATTATATATTATCTACTTCAAGATGCCAACTACGAAATGGCGATGTCAAAATGTCAAAAAGTGTTGATAAGCCGTAGAACTCGAATTAATTAAAAACAAACTTTGTTGTTATAAAGACTTTTGTCTAGAATCTTACGTGGCGTCTGTTTGTTCTTTGATATTTGACTTGTTTTTTTTTTCTTTTTTGTGTACAGATGGGGGGTCATTATGGCACCTGGTTCCTTCAGTTAGTCCACCCACAATTAACGCTACATTGCGTTAACTTGCGCAAGAAACGTGGAATAATATATCGCAGAGGGCATTTTATATCTGTACCATAACATGCATGTGAGAATACAGTTCCGTCGTATTAATATCCAAGGAGGATTTTTAGCGTATTTATATGATAAGGATAATATGATCCATGTCCTTATGAGGAAATATTTGGCATTAATTGACCGAGCAGATAGTGCCACTTTTGTTTAGATGTGCGATTGCATAGCGGCTCACAATGAGAAATCGGAGAGCAGTGTTCGAATTCCAGTCAGGTTCCTTATGTGCGCTTATACGCATATACCCATGGGAGAGGTATAAGCCCATCTCCTCTTCCTAGCTATGGTTAAATTGTAGAACTTCTATTTAGAAAAACATTGTTATTTTTAAAAAAATGTTAATGCGATATTCAATCGCAAAAAAATTATTCTTACAATCCAAATGAAGTTGATCTAGATGATATACCCAAGTACACATTAAAAAATAAATTAAATTAAAAATGTTAAAATTTCAGAATCACCTCCCTTTCGTGAGCATGTATAGTGACACCAATGTAAGCATCACTTTAGTCCGATGAAGTCCTAAAGGATGAAAAGCTTCATAAGATTTTTTTTCCTTTTTGTCATTGTCCTAAAGTTTTTCTCGTATATTAAAATGTATATATCATAGAAGTAGAAAGTGTTAGTACGAACAATCAGGTTTAGTAGTACACGTCTGAACGCGACTCTGTTTCGGACTGCCTCTGACTCGACTGACAGACTCGCTCGCTCTGACTGACTGACAGACTTCTGACGTACCTCACTCCAGACTTCAGACTGAATGGTATTTAGTCACCCCCCACGAGGGCATCATGTAGCACAAAACCGGTTTAACGTGGGAACTCCGAGCCCGTGGGCTCGGCCAAAAATATGCCCTTTGAACCCGTATAAACGGGTTCAGGGTCGGTTTACCTCCCCGAAAGAGACTTCGGCGTAGCCTCGTTCGGGTTCCTCCCCACCCGAAGGCAGAGAGTTCAACCGATCAGCCGGTCGCCCCACTTCGGACTGAACTCCCTGCTTCCTCTTGAGGCGCAGTATTTATTACGTATGGAATAGACTCTCCCGTCGGTTTCGACGTATGAGGATCTGACAGCTTAATTGGTTATGAAATTTTGTGCGATAATCTTAAGTCGTATTTAAGACCTGCTAGTGATTTACAAAGGAGGCCACATATGGAGCAAGTGTGAGCATTGTGAGATGAGATCACTGTTAGATTGGCTGACCTTTTAGATCTTGCTCTCCCTTCTTGAAGATGATTCAGACAAACAGATTGAAAACACGTTGATCTCCATTCTACCCGCTCAAAGGCTAAGCGCTCAAGGGTGTTATGTGGTATATTGACTGCTGACAAGTTGCTTTTCAGCTTGTCTTTGTATCTTAGCCATGGGCATCCTACATTCCTGTAGCCCTGATTTCACTGGCTGTACATCAAGATTTTGGGTATCCTGTCATCAGACATTCTCAAGACATGACCAGTCCAACTTAACTGAGACTCTATGATAAAAGTCTCGATTCCTCCAGTATTACACCTGTTAAACAGGTCTACGTTAGATGTCCTATCTTGAAGCTTAACTCCACAGATTGCACGCAGACAGCTTTTATGGAAAACATCTAGCTGGCGTATATGGTACCTGTATGGAGTCCACAACTCTGAGCCATACAAAAGGATGGCAAGTACAACAACTCTGTAAACCTGAATTTGCGTATCCAGTCGAATACCCGGCTCATTCCACAAGCGATGGCGAAGTTTGCCGAAAGCACTGGTAGCCTTAGCAATCCGATGCATGATTTCATCATCTAAAGTTCCACTGTAATTGACTTTGCTACCAAGATAGGTGAAAGACTTAACATAGTTCAGGGGTTTGTCTTCTATGTCTCATATATATATATATATATATATATATATATATATATATATATATATATATAACCTATATATAAGATACCCTGATATAAGAGAAACCCGGATATAAAAGAGATTTTCTCTGGTCCCAAATTAGAGCCTGTGTTAATGTATATAAAATAGACCAAACCGGATATAAGAAAAAACCCGATATAAGAGACTTCTTCTCCGGTCCCGTCAACTCTCTTATATCCGGGTTACCTGTATATATATATATATATATATATATATATATATATATATATCAGATTTAAGAAACAGCAGATATTTTCATATATAGTACGCAATATTAAAAATATTAAGCGTTAATGATATTATATGAAAAGATTACTTAACTTTTAAATATCAATTTTTATCCCGACATCGATGTTTCTTGGCAAAATTTCCAGTCTTCAGGGGTTGTATTTTTAAACGATATTTACATTTCTTTTTTTTTAATTTTTTCACTTTGTTAATAATAAATATACATTTTTCATCACTGGTAGCAAACTTCATGCACAACGCAATCTTCAACTTTTGTCTCGGGGTATATAGCAGGTATACCAAACCAGATCTGGCAATAACATTCAATGCACGGGCTAACGTTAGATTTATAAATGATGCAAGACGGATTCCGACTCGAAAAATGCTTGGCACGACAGAGTGAAACAACTTTTAAGCAGCAGACCTAACAATTGATTCAATATAAGAATTACACTTCGATGATCTTCTGGACATTAGCATCAGCCATGCTGAAGGATGGCGAAAATGGTTCTCTAAGTTGACCCAAAGACATCAGTTTCGTTTTGGTGACGTTAAGATTTACAAGCCATTTCTCGCCCCTGTTATCAACTGATTGAAAGCCATTTTTAAAATCATCTGCCAGTTTTACTTTATCGTACCTACCGTACTTACTATTAAGTAAGTAGCTGTGCCATCCGCATAAATGCCGAATTGGGAACTGATGACATCGGAAAGGTGGTTGATAAAATTAAGAAACAAAGTAGGTTCAAATCATGTATTACGTGAAAAGATCAAGAATTAAATTTCTAATATTTAATGAAATAAATTTCTCTATATAAAGTTGTGGCTACTGTCTATTTGTTATCGAACCCCTCCTTTGGAGATAGACCCCCATAACCATATATATTCTGAAACTACATCACCCAGGGTACTTGGAGAAGTATATTTCATTATGATCAAGGGGGGGGGGTCCCCGGGCGGCATCACCCTCCAAACTGAAAATATTTTTCCCTTTGTTTTAAATTAAATTTGATCAAGGGAATAACTCCTAGGGTTCTCGGATAAGTATATTTCATTTTGATCAAAGGGTTTCCCGGGGGTGCAACACCCCACTGACGATTTTTCCCTTTTTATTTATATTAAATTTAAATCTGAACAAAGGAACGACTCTTATCCAAAATAGAGAAGGAGAAATCCAGAAGATGGAGGTCACATCGGAAAGATCAAGATGAGACAATATGGCCGTTAAGTTGAGCAAAAATCACCAATCAGTGGGTAGTGTCTTACAATACATATTTGTTGCGACAATTCAACTGTCATATCAATGTTGAAATCTGCTCATCAATTCATTCCATCATGTATTGCATCAAATACATATCAGAGGGGTCAGATCAAGCTGTTTTTGTAGAAACCCCTGACTGAAATTTGTTCCTCTTTGATTTAATTTAAATTTAAACAAGGAAATAACTCTTATCGGAAATATAGAAGGAGAAAATCAGAAGATGGAGGTCACATCGGCAAGATCATTGAGTAATATCCAAATGCATCATTTTTTTCCTCCAAAAATTATAAAATAATTTAAAATCAATCATCATTTTCTTACAAAAAATGTCTGACACGCAACAAGGCGCTGGTAATTCGGCTAGTTTCTAATAAAATAAAAATTCTAAGGCTTTTATATATTTAATTTTACTAAATATTAAAGTGAAATATGTAAAAGCATTAGAACTATACGACAATAAAGTAAGTATAGAATATTTTGAGAAAAAAAACAAAACAAAAAAAGGTAAAAATA